CACACACACACACACACACACACACACACACACACACACACACACACGAAAACATTCACTTCATTAGATCTTGTGTTTAATAAGTTAAAAAAAAAGAAAAACAAACTACACGCCAAAGAACTGTTTTAAAATGTATTTCTTTATGATTTATTCCAGTAAGTTCTTGATTTATACATCTATTTTACACCACCTACATGGCTGTGGCTGCTGCTCGCAGAACATTTAATGAGCCCATCACAGGCAGCATCTGAGGCGATTTTGGGTGTGAAAGGTCGTTCACAACACACTGTCCTCTAGTTTGGCCACAGTTGTTGGTGGAGGGTACTTTATTGCCAATACATTCCATCATTAATCAAGTTATTGCTTATTTCATCCCTTTGCTGTCACTAGTGCATTATAGAATGTATACATGTTAGTCTGATATAAGCTAGTCATGTGAACATGTTAGTGGAACTGTCCTTTTCAAGGACATGTTATGCTCCTCACTTTGGAATATTTTGTTCCTAAGACTGTATACACAGCACAAGAAATGAACTGAATTGACTTGCATATGCCTCATTAAATTACATTGTTACTGCTGGAAGAACTAAAAGGAGACAAATGTGTCTTATTAGAAAATGACTGATTTGTCCACATTCCTGAGGTGAACCAGTGACCAAGGTTCTAAAAGCATAATTCCTGTAATTCATATGTGACTAAAACTATGTGATTTTCTCCTGCTTACTCAACGATAGCCAAACTTTCTCATATAATCTTATCTACTTTCTTTGCCCTCAACAATCATATACATAAAGCAAATTAGCGAGCAGAGAGAACACTTTCCTATCGTTTAACCGAGGGGCAGCTTTATCTCCAGCACAGGCTTTCCGTTGAGACCAAGAAACAAAAGAATCCACGGAGCAGCCAAGCTAGACTCCACGTGGCACTGATCACAGCACTAAGGTAGACTGCCACGGCTCCCACCTCATGTCGTGGCAGCTCTGGCAAGGGCTGAGTTGGGTGGCACGGCAGCAGCAAATGCTTGTGAACCTTCTGTAGTCTGACACACTCATGAGTTGTACATGAGAAAGCTCACTTGTGCTCTGGAACATTTTTTTTTCTATCATCCAACTCAATGAATCTGGCACACAACAGCCCTTGACATCACTCACTGGGACTTTTCAGCTACCTAGCCCCAGCCTAACTCCCAAAAATTCTAAGTCTATTGGGTCTTGAGGGGGATCTAGGAAACTTAAAAAAATCCGTCAGTGTTCTAGAGTAAAATAATGGCTGCATATTACTGCATTACACAGTAACTCTTTGAGACAGGCACATCTTGCCACTAGCCCTCCAGTGTCTAGCATATGCCCTGGAACACATAAGTACCTAGAAACTGTTTGCTAAGTAAACAAATAAACTTTATAACTTCGCTGTTTGCCCTGCCTACAGCTATGACACTAACTTATAATCCTGTAATAGCACTTTAAAAATGCCACAGGCTTCAAGCTCAGGCTGGCAGACCACAAATGGGACCCTCACTGCAGCAAAGCCTAACAACACATCAAGATTATTATCACAGTCTTACTATAATGAAATCAAGAACAGATCTGGCTTTGCAGTGACCTACGCATTTGGCTAGAACGTAGGACACATTAAAGAGGGAATCTATTTCTAGCGTGATTCATGACAACGGATGTTCTCGACAAGAAAATTAGTATTATGGTTTTGGTAATTGCACATAAATAAAAAGGTCTCTTAGATACCTTTCATAAGATTATTGCACTTGGAGATGCCCGCCTTCTAGAAGATCAACACCAACAGTAACAGCTCTAAGCACCCATGCCGACAGCAGGGTTCAGGGTTACAGTGCACAGCAACATGGTCAAGGAGATACTTACACTCTCACTCTGAAAAGGATTTAAGAAATTCCCCCCCATTTCACCGTCATCCCTTGGAGTGCCCGGCTGGTTACTCAGGCTCATGTTATTGGGCGAATTCTGTGAACAGATTCAGAAAGAAGTCATTGTTGAAGGTTTTCATTTCCCTCCTGCACTGTAGTGTTTTAAACACCACATTTACTATCAAACACAGCATGGCACTGCGCTGAGGACAGATGCCAGCCCGGCTTCTCCCGCACACTCTGCCCCAGGACAAGTGTTCACTCTTTTTCAAGTGGAAGTTTGAAAACAAGCAAAACCCCTAAATAATCTATGGCAACTATTTTCTTATACCCAGAACCAATATTTATTCAATTCCTCACCCTCAGTTTATAGAGTTTTGAGAAGTCTAAAGAGTTTTTTAAAAAAAAGTTTCCCAGGATGAGGCTGATGAAGGGGGCCTACCCATGGACGAGGCATGATGGAGGCTAACTCCCTTAGTAACTTCACTAATCACACTTGGAAAGGTCACTGCTTTAACAGACATCTCCCTTCAGTCCTTTGTGCACTTTAGAGATAATGCTCTCTCAATTATTTTTATGTGAGTCCTAAGGAAGAAAGAAGATCGTTAAGGCAGGAGCCACCTCTGGCCTGGAACACTGTGTGCTTGCGGAGGAGGGCGGGATCAGCAGAGCAGCGGAGAAGCCCCTCCAGGAGCTAACAGGAGAGCTCCTAGGAGCTTGCTCCAAGACAGAGCAGTTGCTGTTAGCCATCCGCACGGAGCTGGCAGGCCTCTGTGTAACCCTGTTTAAGTCTGCGCTCCATATCCTTACGGCGCACTCTAAACTATGCATGCTATCTGGTGGCCCACACCAAAAGTTGCACAGAGCTTCACAGGGGTATTGATCTTATCTTTACTTCTCTCTGCAGTTAGAGCTCAGCATGCCACCTTGCACATTGCTCTTTATGCACTGAAGACTAGAACCCGCTTGAGGATAGAGACTACGTTTGTTTTCAAACAAGTCTAAGTACAAGAATGCACTCCTGAAACATGACCTTAACGTTTCACTGGTAACTAGGGAGAGTTCTGACAGTTCGAAACGTAGCAATGCCCTCCTATGACAGGCAGGCTGTAAAGTTTGGAAAGGCACCTCCCATGTAGAGGGGTTTAATAGAATTACACAGGAACTCTTGCTCTGAAAACAGACTCTTTGAATATCATTTCTCAGAGGCAAGTTAGTATTTGCTACAAATAAATAGTTTTAGAAGACTTCTCTAGTATTTTCTAAATATATTCATCCAAGTGTCCATAGAACTTGTATGGCCAGGCAACCAGATACTCTTGGTACAACGCCAAAGTTGCAATTTAAAATATTTTAGGCCTGAAGGTTTAGCTCAGTTAATCTTATTTTATTTTATTTTTTGTGGTGCCAGAAACTTTACATTATTATACAAATATAAGTAGAACTGAAAGCATAGTTGTGCTTCAATGACTTTCTCTACTTACTGATCTAAAGCAGACTTTGAAAGGAGTAATTTAGTGTTAGCTAATTTTAGTTCTCATCAAGCATTTTAAATATATTTGACTCTCAGAGAACTACTTTAATTTCATTATGATCTGGGAAGTGTTTAGAAGTTATTCTTAATAAATATGTAAAGCATTTTGCCAAAAGATTAATTTTAGATATTCAAATAATTGGAGGAAAAACGCAGACATTTACTTTTCTATGTGTGTTAATATAATTTCCTTCTAATTACTTTCCTACCATTTTGAGAACTAGAATAATGACTGCAGATGGCAACACTGTCTGATGAAGGCTTGAAAGAACATACAAATGCAATGTCCTCATGCCACACACAGCCCACTTCTCCAATGTATTTTCTGCCACACTGCTATAGATACTTTGTGAACTTTTACAGCCTCTCAAAAGATCATTCAAGCCGTCAGTCTATGCTCACTTAATCAGAACACGATTAAGTCCGTTATATTTCCCTTTCTCAAAGATCATATATATTCATATCTTAATTGCTAAGTGATCACATCTGAACTTCTACTTTCAAAATTTTATTGAAGAACAAAATATTAGTAATACCCATTTAGTAACCTTAGAGTTCCACATGTAATAAAATGGAGACAAAGTCAGAGAACACACATTACTTACCTTGGGAATACTGTCCATATCGCCTGAGCCTGCGGCAAAGTGTGAGAAGATAATAACCTTCATTAGGTAAGGCAGCGCTTACAAAGGGAAACTACCTATGGGGCGTGAGCTGCCTCCGCCGGCAGACAGCACTGCTTCTACTAGGAGAGACATCGTCCGCATGCCCGTACAATTTTAAGTGTTTATTAATACATACAGATTGTATCTTTTAATGAAAAGGATATAAATCTGATAAAATTTTAAATGTATATTTCTAAAAGGATCTGACAATATTCTGAACCATATTTTACTATAATATTAAAAATATTTTCACTAATATTAAAAATAGATAGCATTCAATATATACAATAGAAACTAAACATAGCTTCAAGATGCCACATTTTAATATTGATTTTTTGAGAGACATGGGTAATGGAATTATATATGAAGTAACTAGTCATAACTTTGTTACAAAATCAGCTTTATTTGAAGTATTTTATTCTCAACAATTAATCTTAGTGTAAAGTACTGTAACATTTTAATAACAGAATTTACTAACAGTGTAATTAACACGAAGGGTTAGCATGACTCACTCGTGAGTAAAAAGGTACACACGATTACACAGTGAATGCACACAGGTTATACTGTTATACTGTATAACAGGTAATACTGTTATACGTTAATATGCACAATAATGTTCACTAAAGAAAATAATGAGCTAGATGTCAGTCACTGTGAAACTCTTTTGGAAGTTTGATTCTAGTAATAATGTAACCAAAAGCTTTCTAACCATGACCAAACACCCTCTTTTTTGACTAATTCTCCAACTTGACAGACTGAGAGAGCAATACACTGAGATATCAAGTTCTCCAGCAGTGCTGTCCACTTGAACACCCTGGGGTGACGGGTGTGTGTTTCTCCGTGGCGCCCATTATGGCAGCTAGTAGTGATGTGTGCCCGCTATGCGCCTGGTGTGTGGCAGTGTCCCGCAGGACTTGAATGTTAAATTCCCTCTAGCTTTAAAGGGTTATACGTGACTATTTGATAACATCATCAGACACTTCATGTTAACAAAAATAAAATGAACCAACATTTTGAAATCTAGGAAAAATAAATCTGGGTCTTAAAAGGCACAAAAGCCTATCAATGCATTACAAATAATTTCCGAATCACTCAAGTTAACACAGACTTTCAGAGAGTCGAGTATGGGGAAGGAAATCCCAGATACACAGAACTGCATAAGCATGGCTTGTTGGATCTAGGTGAGCGGCTCTCTTTACAACCATTGGCATCACTGTCAGCTTTTAGACTATCTTACGATTAAAAGCCCGTTGTTTTTCATACCTTCTACTCACAAACACAGTGTGTTAAGAGGGCCAGTCAGTTTGGTTTACTTTTCTCTGTGTCGTGTCACTGTAAATATTTTATTCTTCTTATAGATACTTGGTTCCAGATGCTACAAGGCATCACACATGAAGCACACTGTTAACTACCAGTGTGCTTGAGCTCGGCTTTACCTCAAGGCAGGGTACACATCGCGTCTCGGAAGGCAATTATCAAAGCATGGTTACTAATGTTATCTTAAAATGAGGCAAACATTAAAATACAAAACAAAATTAAGAAATTATTGAAGAGAGCTGGTTTCTCTGCTATTATGTTCACAGACTAGAGACAAAAACACCTGCGGGAAGGACAGATGCACTCTCTGCATCAGGCAGCACTGAGCATGCCGAGTGGAACAGTGCTCCTTTGGCCACAAGATACTTAGGCTTTCCCAGGTGGGTTCAATACTGTGGGGCAGGTTTCACAGAACAATCCTCACACTATTGATTGTTTTTAGGTAATTTATTTAATTTTATGTGCATTAGTGTGAAGGTGTCAGATTCCTTAGAACTGGAGTTATAGACAGGTGTGAGCTGCCATGTGGGTGCTGGGAATTAAACCTGAGTCCTTTAGAAAAACAGCCAGTGCTCTTAACCACTGAGATATCTTTCCAGCCCCACCCTCTTGATTTTCAAATGCTCTCCAGTCTTCCTACCCAATGCGCTATGGATCACATCATCATCCTGATGGACAGGAAGAGCTTTGCAGACAATTAACGTTTTATTTTGAGTTTATCCTACACAGCTAGTGTAAAAGCCTTACCTAAAGAGCCATTCATGTGATGGGACTCCATTCCTCCTAATCCACCCATGGGACCATCTGATCCTGGGCCCATTGGAAACTGTTTTAAAAATTAAGAAAGTAATTGTGATCACAGGGAAAATGATTTTAACATTATTTATTAACATTACAGAGATTGCCCTGATTTATTTCCAGATTTAGAGACTTTTCAGTATACTTTTCCAGGTTGTGGATTCTTCAGTTGCCTGCCCTACCTCTCTTATCTCTACATTCTAGATGCTCAGGCTAATCCTTTCTGTCCATTTTTTTTTTTTCCTTCGTGGAGACATGCCTAACTGGAAAGCATGGCCATTACACGAAGATGAGATGAGCATTCTCTCCTTGATGGTGACACATTTCCTCTCATACGATCATGGCAGTTCTTAAGAAGTTGCTGATGTTACTGACTTATCATGAAGAATATTTGTGTTGAATCGTCATACCAAAATCAACTCTTTCTTGGTAGGCAATCAATCATTGCTTGAGTGCGCACAGGGAGTAACTTCATCTTAAACACACTGCGCCACTTAGGGATAGCTGCATGGTAAACTCCTGTCAGTCATGTGTGCTGCGTCAGCTTAGTGCAGACATTCTACAGCTGCTCAAGTCACACTTCTAAAGCCCCAGGACCTTCTTTCCAGTGAGATCTTAGTGAGCAGTAGCTGTGATGGAGGTGCAAGTCAGCGCCTTTCCACCTGCCTTCTCTAGAACTCTTCTACGTCCAATCTGAAGGAAGCCTGACAACCTATCATCATCTCACGTCTTATTTTCTGAAGGTAAGTACCTTCTGAAGTCGGCTTTTTCTTTTAAATGTTCCCAAGTTCAAATCATATTCCATCATATATAAATTGCAGTATTGAATTTAGTGTGTATAGATGGAGTGGTGAGGGTTACAAATCATTCAAGACTAAACAGGAAAGGAAGAGTAAACAAGAAAGGAAGGCGTAGGAGAAAGGAAAAGCAGAAGGGAGGAAGACAGGCAGGTGGGCTAGGTTGCTTAGGGGAAACTACCCAGACAAGCCTCAATGCCACAAGCTCTGTGGAGATGCGGCTTCCACGTGTGACTATGAGTATACAGGTCACATGGTCATACTCTTCCCAGAAGTAGGACACTGGTGCTGCTTACGCCCGAGTGTCTCAGCAGGCACAGACAGGCAGGAGGGGCAGCTCAGCTAAGCTCTGAAACCTGAGTTCAGTCTGCAGGGTGGATGGGGAGAACAGTCCACTTGAACAGTTCTCCTGACGTCCACATGTATGCCACAGCATGCTTAGGAGCAGAAACACGGACACACACACACACTCAGTCACTCTAAATAAATGAATACAATTAAATAAAAGAGCATGAGCTGATCTTTTAGACAACAATCTGGAATATATACATACCACTGAGGAATCAGAAACTGTCTGAATGGAATGTAAAACCTCAGCTCTTAACAAGGAGTTTAGATCTGCAAGCCTAATAGCCTGTGAATGCAATACATTCTACTCTTTCCGCTGCCTCTGCAACTATAAAAGGAATTTAATATTTTTAAATTCTAAGACCATAGGCATGTAGGTTTTAATTAGTTTAACAGGAAAAAATGTATTTGCTGACTTTTTCAATTTTAGCTACCCTATGTACTTATATGTAAGCATAACATTTATAACTATATTTAAATTGATTTAGATTATTACCATATTATAGCTCAAATACATTTAAAACTTATATTTACATTAGGTCTGTTGGGCCCAGGAGGTACTGCATTCATTAAAGTATACATGTTGTCTCCAGAATTGGTTGAATCTGAAACAAAACATGACTTAATTAATAATTATCTCTACCAAAGTCATCACAAAACAATAACCCAAACTGATGCTGGTGTGCGCAGAACCTGCCAGCCGCACACGCCTGACAGTCTCTGCTCTGCTTACAGCTGTCTGTGCAAGCTTTACTGATCCAAAGTCAGGAACTGGAAACATGATGACAGGGTAATCATTTCAGCAATTTAGGTCAACTGAATATTACTTAAAAAACCTCAAAAACAGGCAATCTTTTTCTATCATAAAACATGGGTTATTTTTAATTCATAAATGACATATATATCTATTAATTTTAAAGTTCAAATTCAGTAGCTTTCCAATTTTCAGAAGTTTCTTAGACTTCCTAAAATAATTGAATTTTAGGATAAAACAGGTAGGCTATTCTGACATAATTTCAAAAGTGAGATTCCAATAAGACTAAAGAGAGAAACTATCCTGCTTGAAGCGAAAGCCAGATTCTTCTACTATCATTTTCCTCTTTTCAGAGACAGTCTTGTTTTATGATGTGGAACTTAGTAGCCCAGGCTGGCCTTGAATTCATATCAATCCTCCTGTCTCAGTTTCCTAAGTCCTGAGTTACAGACATGAAATCACCACACTTCAACAGCTTTTTGATAACTTTTCTCAGTCTTTTATTAAAACAACTGCAATGCATTCTCTATATATTTGCAAGATGTTATACTATTCTAAGACTTACACTTCATGCGTACCAGTTAATTCTAATTAAATATCTACATATATTTTTTGAAGTAAAACCCAGAATGAAAGCCATTATTTTACACTGAAGAAGTATTAGTTATGAAATACAGTTTTCTATTTTCTTACAAAGTTTACTTAGCTATATTACACTAGATCTTTATTTTGAAAATGATGAAGTGTTTGAAAATTTGTGTTTCGTATTGTTCAACAGAAAGGGTAAAATGCGCTTTTTCATAGTAGTGACCACAGAGAGATCTACTTTCTTCTACCCTTTTGTGTGGCTACCTGTTAGACATTAATTGGCTTGTGGTTTCGCATGTATAACAGAATAATTGTTACTCACTGGTCCTTTACTAACAGTGATATATGAGTCTCAGTACTAGATTTTACTTTTGAGGCAGGGTTCCGCTATGTATATCTGGCCATCCTGGACGTCACCATGCAGATCAGGCTAGCTTCAAATTCATAGGAATCCACCTAGCTCTGGCTCCCAAGCACTGGGATTAAAGGTGTGTGTCAGTACACTTGGCTAGATATGACTTCTGAAGTAGAATACATCTGAGTACTGAGTAAACCAGACTGCACCCCGTCAGGCTGCTCTTTTTTGAATACCAACCTACATGTGGATCCAACTTTTCACGTCCGTAGCTAGGAAATGCTTCTGTCATATTAGGTTATGTATCCCTGCCTGGCACCAGCCTTGCCCATCTTCACAATTTTATTCCTTCTCCTGCTGAGCATCTTCTCACCAGTTACACCTACTGAAATTCTAGAAACTGGTCAACCAAGACACATTTCAAATGCTAGTCTCTTCTTTCTTTCTTTTTTTTTTCAAATGCTATTTCTTTCTTTCTTTAAAAAAAATTATGTATATGTTTTCTGTTTTTTGTTTTACACCTGCATGCCATAAGAGGGCATCAGACCCCTTATAGATGGCCCTGAGTCACCATGTGGTTGCTGGAATTGAACTCAGGACCTCTGGAAGAGCAGCCAGTGCTCTTTACTGCTGAGCGGTCTCTCCAGCCCGGCAAATGTTCTTCCTAGTATGAGCCGTGCAGGGTTTCTGAGTGCACACGTCATAGCTTGATCAGTTAATGCTCTGATCGGCTAGCCTGCTCACACATGGCCCTCAGGAGTTCATCAGAAGGACTTAGCTTGTGTGCCCCAAACAACAAATCAGATTTACTGCACTTAATCTGTCTAAAAAGTTCTATCATATTTCAGAAATTTTTGGATTTCTTTTTAAATCTATGAAAACTTTAAATGGATTTTATCTTTACTTTTGGTGGAAGAATAATGGATTATAGAATTTAAATGATGAGATGAATTTATCATTTTTAAGACTAATTGAAAATATAATTTCATCAAGATAGGAAATCACCAAGATGAATAAGGGTAGTTTTCTAGGAAATGCCCGATTCCTTTTGGTTCATGGAAAAGCATTATAATAAAGTCATCTACGGGCTGAGGACACTGGCTCACCATTAAAGCAATAACTGCTAAAGGATGACTCTATGAAGTGTGCAAACAGGCAGCAAGACACAGTTGGAAAGGTGATTAGATGATGTATCACCAGCTATGCTCAGTATTGCTTGAAGCTAGGCCCTAGTCTCTAACGACACGAACACAAATCACACGCTACCTTCACAAATCACACGCTACCTTCACAAATCACACGC